ATGGTAGATTGCTTGGCCTGTTGGGCAGAAAGTATTCCCCTTTGGATACCTGAGGTCTCTGGGAGGGGGGGACTGAAAAGAGAAAGATAGTTTGGACAATGTTATTCTATTCATGCTCCTAGGTTGAGGAAGACCATAGGGAGCTAATTCCTTTTTCCTAAGAGTGGAACCCCAAGCAAAGAATCTATCTGGGGGCCCCCACAAGGGGGCATAATTGAGATCGAGAGACCTATTGAGAGATGTGGAGAGACAGAGAGAGAGAGAGAGAGAGAGAGAGAGAGAGAGAGAGAGAGAGAGAGAGAGAGAGAATGAATATCAGTGATCTGAGCCTCTAGCAACTTCTGAATGCTTTGGTATATTAGAAGAGGTCCAGCTTACTTTGGGGAGATTGCCCAGCCCTGTGAGAGAAGAATCGATGGCTTTTGTGATTACTACTTTTATTATACAAATTCAATTTTCACAAGATCATAGGATCATAGACATAGAACTAGAAAAGAACACAGAGGCCAACCCCTTAGAGATGGGGAAACTGAGGCCCAGAGAGTTTAAATGACTTGCCTAAGGTCACACAAGTAGTAAGTGTCAGAAGTGAGGCCTCACCTTATTTTCTCTGTCTACAGAGTCTATGTTCTTTCCTTTAGAATCAGAAGATAACCTTAGAGATCATCTAGTCCAATGGTCTCATTGTGCAAATGAAGAAACTGAAGCCCAGGAAAGGTGAAGTTACATTTTCAAGGTCACCTAGGCAACAGAATTGACACTTAAGCCCAAGTGTTCTGATTCTAAGTGCAAAGGTCTTCTATTATGTTATGTGCTACTCTATGCTTATGTCTATAATGTCCAACCAACCAAATGATTGGTTGGCATCTTGATTTAGGTGTTCATGTGCAACATAAACTGGTTGTTTAACAATTCGAATCAGGATCAGTTCTTATATCTAATTTTGAGCAAACATGTTCCTGAACTCATGGAAAACCCTAAATTCTAAAACTGGTTGCTTCTGGAAACAAACAAACAAAAACTGCATCAGCCCCCTGGGAAAGTGTAGGATGCCTCAGAATCCCAGGATGTGAGAGGACACATAATCATTGACATAATCAATAAATGTGAAGATAACTTGATTTAAAAAAAAGGCTCTGGGCCCAAAGCTCCTTTACTCAAAGTCAGTCAGCTTAGGCCCAGAGGGAGTTAAAGGAGTTTCTTGGCACTCAGCTTAAGGAAATGTCTTTCACCGAAGAGGAGGAATTAGTGGCCTTTTCTCACACTGAAGGCTCTTGCATATAGTCTCAGGTCCTAGGCTGGCTGAGGGGAGGTCTCTTAAGACTCAAATGACTTAGCCACCTGAGTGAAGGGGAAGCACCACCCAGGCTAGGAGTTGAGAACATGTATTGAAAGGACTCTGCACACTTTGAGGCAGGGTACAAATGATAATGATGACAATAAAATATTCTTTGTTCCTTGTACCTTTTCCCCACTGTTGTTCCCCCCTTTAGAATATAAACTCCTTGAGGGCAGGTACTGTTTTTGCTTCTCTTTATGTCTCCTGCACTTAGCACAATGCTTGGCACATAGTACATGTATAATAAATACTTGTTGACTGACTGATTGGAAAATATTCTGCATACTCTAATCTAAACATAAATTTAGTGATGGTGAAGATAATGATGCTTGGTTTCTGTCTCATTTCATTCTGCTCTGGAATGCTTGGCACATAGTAGGCACTTAATAAATGTTTATTGACTGACTTCTATTCAAATTAAATTAAGTTAAATCTGGCAAATATTTTATAGAATCACAAAGTCTCAGGGTTGAAAGGGACCCCAGAAGCTATCTGTTCCAACCTCTACCTGAATAAGGCACGGTGTTTAATGCTGGGGGAAATATAACAAATATAAACATAAATATAAATAAATGAAACAAATAAAAATATAACAAAAAAAATGCCACCATTCCTTGAGGTGAGTATGATCCAATAGAGTATGGGGCCATCCTGAGAGAGATGGAGGCAGAAGGCATCCCTCAAATGGCCTGAGGAACAGAGAGCCAACAGTCTACCTCATCAGAAAGGAAGGAAGGAAGACAGAGTCTCCACAAGGCAGGACTTGTTTCCTAGAATATAGCACTAATTTCCTATAACATTTCTGCCTCTGGCAAGGAAGATCCTGAATATAAAACATGCCATCTGTGTACAGGATTTAGAATTGGAAGATTAAAGTTCAGCAATTGCCTATTTCAACCTCCTCATTTTTTTTGTAAGGAAACTGAGGTCTGGAGAAGTAACTTGGTCAAGTTCATGCTAATAAGTAAGCGCTGTGGTTTGATTTCAGGATCAATTGACTCCAGACCCAATGCTTATGCCACTACATCACAAAATCATAAAATCATAAAATATGAGAGTGGGAAAGGATGTCAGTAGCCACCCCTCTGCCCCCCTGCCCCAGTATAATTGGTGCACAGAGGGAATCTTCACTGAGATCATAGTGGTCGAGCTGGAAGGACCTTGGAGGCCACTGAGTCCAACTCCCTCATTTTACATATGAGGAAAATGAGGAACATGGATGTAATGGGATGCGACTATGCTGTAAGAAATGGTGAATATGTTGAATACAGAGAAGCATAGAAACATCTACATGAACTGATGCAGAATGAAACAGAGTCAAGAAAACAATATACACAGTGACTACAACTATGTAAATGGAAAGAACAGCCACACCAAGAAATCGGAAGTGAATATGGACAAAATATAAAGATCAATCATGACTTGTAAAAAGAAATGAGAGGATGGTCCCAATCTACTCCTTCATGGAGGTGGTAGGTTCACAGGTGGTACACATTGCAAGTGTTTTTAAAAAAATTTTCAATGTATTGATTGCTTGTGTTGATTTTTCCATGTCTTTTGTTTTTCTTTTATCTTTAGAAATGCTATTTATTATATGGGTTGTCTCTGTGGGATGGACAATAGGAGGAATACTGGAGAAAACTGTGGTGATGCAAAAAAAGAGAGACATCAATAAAAACTCATTTAAGAAAGAAAAAAAAAGAATGAGAGATGTGGAGAGAGTCTTTGTATCTGACAGGGGGGTGATAATGACCAGGGGAAGTTTGATATAATTGAAAGAACATTGAGTTTTGCATAAACAGAGTAGGCATGGAATCTATTTCCAGCTCTGCCACTTAATAGCAGTTTGACCTTGGGTGAGGCACCTAACATTTATATGCCTCAGTTTCCTCATCCATAAAGTGGGTATGCTAATAATTACATTACCTACCTCACAGACTCACTGTGAGGAGCAGTTGAGATGAGACTATGAAGTGCTTTATACATGTAAACTACTATCCAAATGTGGATTGTCATTATGAGATGTTCATGGCCTTTGAGTCTCCAAGGGCCCCTAAAACTGAGACCACTCGTGAGAAAATGGTTACTATTTTCCATGAGAAACTTGATTGCTAATTATCCCCTGTGAAACCTCTCCGCAGCAGCAACTCCATTGCCAGGAGACCAGGAAACTTACCTCTCAACATTAAGAACCCTAGCCCGTAGTCACTGACAACTTGGAGACTCACTTTTGTGGCCAGGGAGGAAGAGGAGAGCAATGGAGGGAGGAGGGTCATTGTCCTGATGATGGTCAAAACCTCTGACTCATTCCAAACCATTGCCTGCCATGGACAAAGGTTCATTTCCTTTTCTTCTTCCTCATCACCTTTTGTCCACCTTTTTTGTCAGGCACCTGGTTTGCTAGCTGCTTTTAACAGATAACACTGGGAAGCCCATCTGTGACATATTTGGGAGGAAGCACGCTGGGCAGTTGGAGCATCAACTTGGGCTGGAACATCTGTCACATTGCCATTTGGGAAGACTGGCAGTGAGTGAGGACAATAGAACTCTTCTCAGGGAATCCCTATCATTGTAGCTTCCAGGTAAGAGGGACCCATAGAGCTCATGCCTGCACCACATCAAGGGAGGGGCAACTGGTGAGGATCTCACCCAGTGCTGCTACATCAATGCCAAACCTTGTCATTGAGGTGCTAAAGTGGATTTTCATCCTCTGGTATCTAGATGGACTTTCTATACAACCTAAATGAGCTGAATCATTACCTAATCTCCATTTCTTTCTGTATATAAAAGAAAAAGAGCTGCACTGAACAGACTAATATACTGTCCTCTGCTCTGATGGGATTTAGACAGTGATTTGAGACCCATGTTAAGAGTAATAACAGAGTGTGGTGTATTGGATAGAAGGCTGGTCTTGGAGTGAGGAAGCAAATCATCTGTCTAATATGTATTACATGACAACAGGCAAATCACTTCACTTTTCAACATCTTGGCCAATTCTCCAAGAACCTACAAACAATTGTTGATATGCTTTGGTAGGGGAGTTTTCACACCAGGAATCCTTTATGCTGATGAAATCACAGGTCAAAACAGAAAGAAATGCTCCCATTTCTGTGTTAACTTGTACTTTCAACCTACTTTCAGACTCTAGGTTTCCTTTTTTTGATCATCACAACAAAGGATGACATATGTAGGGTGGGTCTAATTAATCCATTTGGCCAATGAGAAAGCTGTGACAAAGAGTAGCTAAATTACTTTACTTTTGAAATCACTTTTGGTTGCTAGGTGGAACAGGTTCACTGGGCTTGGAATCAGGAAGACTCTATCTTCATAAGTTCAAATCTGGCTGTATGACCCTGGGCAAGTCACTTAATCCCATTTGCCTCAGTATCTCATCTGTAAAATAAGTTGGAGAAGGAAGTGGCAAGCCACTTTATTGTCTTTGCCAAGGAAACCCCAAAGCGGGTCACAAAGAGTCAGATGTGATTGAAACATGACACAACAATGTTACCTTAGTGGCAAAAAAGCCAAAATTGAAGTCCATATTTCTTTCCCCATATGCACATACCTCTATCTTGACCATTCTCCCCACTCTACACCTTGGTAGTTTCTTCTTCAGAACTCAAACACAGTCAACAGGTATGTTTTTTCCTCACTCTGGGCTGGCTGTGATCATGCCCAGGACTTCCCATGAGTTCATATTTCAAGTATTGTTCTGTGAAAGGTCATGAGGAAACCAGATAAGGCACTTGGGGAAAGATCAGGAGACACTGTGAGGGTGACCTCTATAGGGGTTCTGATCCATTGTCATCCAGCCTGGGGGTCTCTTTCTGAGAGCACATATCTGTCTGTTTCCTCCCTTAAACACCTGCTTGCAAAAGAACCTGAAGCTTCCTTCTGCCCCCATACCCCACTCCTTGATAAGATCCTAATGATGCCACAGCACAGGGATGCTTCCTTCTGAGAAACTGGGGCTGCCTCCTTCATGATAGCAGCTGAGGATTTCCTTTTACCAGGTGGGAGCTCAATAGAAATGAAAAGAGTCTCACAGCCTCCAGGTGGGTGGAGGGAAGTTCACAAAGTAATAGAGTCACAGAATTGCTGTGTTGGACAAGGATATAAAGGTAATCTTGTCCAAACACTTATGTGATGCATGAATCCCTTATACAACTTCATTATTAAATGACCATTCATGTATTGTTTGAAAACCTCCAGTACAGAGGATGTACCATCTTGGTGAGTTTTGGATATTTCTGATTACATAAAGTCCTTATGTTGAATCAAAATATATGTTCTACCTATTTGTTCTAGTTCTTTTCTCTGGGGTCATGCAGAATAATACCATCTCAGAGTTATAGAGTACTTTATGGTTTACGAAACATTTGTTTCACAAAATGTTTTTAAAGGAAGTAGTGTATTATTCTCATTTTATAGATAAGAAAACCGAGGCCCCCCAAAAGTCTTTTGCTTTGTCCATAGTCACACTCCTGGTCCATGCATGCCACAGCTGAGATTGTCTACTACTTCTTCTAGGGTCATCCAATTAATTTAGACTGAATGCACTGTGACTTTATAAAAAAGAAATCCCCTTTACCTGAATTGACTTCCTTCTCAGGCCAAATTTATTGGATAAATTATTCAATCTTCCATTTGCATTTAGTTGTAGATACAGATATTGTCCATGAGGCCCAGAAAGATGTGCTGGTTAGATAACTGTACTATATGGATAATTGGATCTCTGCACCTGCCATAGGCTAGAACTGGTACATTAAAAGGCTGTTAATGAAAATTTATAAGTTTCCCCTCTAGAGAGACTCAGTGGTCAAGCAGATGCAATTAGAAGCTTAGGCATTAGGATATTTAGGATTCACTGGGCTAGAATTATGATATAGAATTCAGGAAGCAGGCACAGACATGGGTCAGGCACAAAGTCAGACTGTGGTATTGATCTGATGACCTTCCTGTCAAGCTCATTTGACCAGCCACAAGATCTTATGTTGAAGTCATTGAACAAGAGACCCTAGATACTTCAGGAAGCAGGACATAGAGAGACTAGAATATTAATATTCCTTCCAGTTCAGAACCTATCTGGAATGTTACATTCAGTTCTGGACACTAAAGCTTCTTTTCCATTGGTTCTGCATTGCATAGTGGACAGAATTCTGGCTTTATGACCCTGTTTAAGTCACTCAATTTTTTTTTCCTGCCTCAGTTTCCTCATGTGTACAATGAGAGGATTGAACTTGATGGCCTCTAAGGTCTCTTCCAGGTTCAAATTTATGGCCATAATTTTCACTCGCTCATTTATTCATTCATTCATTAGTAAGACAATATTCAGAGGAGGGCAGAGAGGATGGTGTAGGTCAATGAGTACATATTACACGAGCATGGATTGAAGAAATTAAGGGTGTTTAGCCTAGAGAAGAGCAGACACAGAGAGGTCATAATAGTCCCTTAAGTATCTAAAAGTTTTCACGTATAAAAGGGATTAGACTTAACAGTGAGTGGGTGAATAACACTTGTTTTGCCTTTCTTTTTATTTCCAGCACTTAGCACAGTTTCTGACATAAAATAGGCATTTAATAAACCTACTATCTCCCAGCTGCTGAGCTAAGCTCTGGGGACACAAAAGAAAAGGAGAAACAGTCCCTGATCTCAAGGATTCAACGGTCTAATGTAAGAGCTCACACAGTCCAATGGACTTGTTCAGTTTGGCCCTCAAGGGCAGAATCAGAAGCTGTAATGGATGGAAGCTGCAAAGAGGCAAATTTAATCTTCATGTCAGGAAAGAACTTTCCCAAACTATCCCAAAGTGGAATGGGTTGCTTCAGGAGGAATATTTTCCCCTTCATTAGAAGTCTTTAAGTAGAAAGTAGATGACAATTTATGGGGTATGTTGTGATCACATTCTTTTTTTGATTTGGATTGGATTTCATGACCACTGGGATTCTTTCTATTTCTAAAATTCTGTGATTCAGGCGAGAGACTTAAGGCAAAAGTTTGACTCAAGGGCTAGGCTGATCCTGCATCATTCCAATGAACCAGGCAAATTAGGCCAAAGAAATTTATTTTTGAACTTGAATTAGCATCCACTTCAGTTTCTTGATGGGCCAAATGATCTGGGTAATTAATTACCAAATCACCATTTCCCTTGGTCCTGAACTGGTATGAGAATAAGATGGGGAAGTTATAATAGCCCTTTATATTTTTATAGCACATTATAGCTTCCAAACCACTTTCATGTACATTTGATTGTGATATTTCTGAGGCATCACAAACTTCAGTTGGAACAGACTTCATGTGTCATCTAATCCAACTGTAACTGAAATCATAAATCTTATCTACATCTGCAACAAATGGCTATGTAGCCTCTCTGGAAATCTTTAATAATATGGAATTCACTCTTTTTGCCCATCCTTCATTGCAAGGTAGCCCATTTAAAAAATTAGTAGCTAGCATTTATATAGCATTTTAATATTTGCAAAGTACTTTACAAATACCCCATTTTGTTATTATCATTTTTGACAGCTAGAATTCTTAGGAAGTTTTTCCTGATGTTGAACATAAAATCTGCCTCTCAAGTGGTCTAGGTCCTCCCTCCCTCTTTTTTTCCCTCCTTTCCTTCCTCCCTTTATCCTTTCCTTCCCTTCCTTCCTTCCTTCCTTCCTTCCTTCCTTCCTTCCTTCCTTCCTTCCTTCCTTCCTTCTCTCTCTCTCTTTCCTTCCTTCCCTTCCTTTTTCTTTCCCAGTCCAGCTAAAGGTATTATTCAGACATCTCCCCTCTTTCCTCTACCCCTATTGACAATCTTAGAGCAACATTCATTTACTACTCCATTTTCCAAAAAGCGGCAATTTGATTCATTCTCTTTCTTGCTTTTTTCCCTTTCTAGGCTAATATAGGATGTAATTCCCAGTGATGAGCTTTGTGCTGTGTTCTTTCTTTGATCTTTCCATAACTTTCATACGAAATGGAGTTTTTGGAAGACAAAAGACTTTTCTTCTTATGTATGTGTCTACTAGTATATTTGCAGGTCTTTCCCTTACATTATTTCTTTTAATTTTTTTTTTCTTTTGGAAGAACTTTCTTCTAAGCAGCCTTAAACCAGAAACATGTATTCACTAAGGAGGCAGCATGGGGTGATAGAAGGCACTCTGTATTTTATGTTGAGGGATTTAGTCTTACTCTACACCTTTTTATTCACCACCTGCCCATCTTAATGCAAGTAAATCCTGTCTTTGGACCTTTGCCTGCCTATTCACTTGTCCGCCCCTGGAGTCTAGGTATTCCATTCCTTGGGGTGGCAAGTGGTCCTGAGAACTATCACACCTGCTCAGAGACATGGGTTCTTAAAAGTTGTTTTTGCTGTGAATTAAACCTATTGTGTGTCCCCTTCACACTCCCCTTGCCTGGAGAATTATGTCATGAAACCCTAGGAGAAATCTCCCTTCATAGTTAGTATTGACTCCTCTTCCTTATTCTAGATCCATGCCCCATCCCCAGTACTATTTCCCTTTTCTTCTAAGACAAGTCTTCCCCTTTAGAACAGTTTCTTTTCTTTTCTTTTCTTTCTTCTTTTTGGTTAGGCAACGGAGTTAAGTGACTTGCCCAGGGTCACACAGATAGTAAGTGTTATGTGTCTGAAGCCAGATTTGAAATCAGGTCCTCCTGAATCCAGGGCCAGTAATCTATCCACTGTGCCACCTAGCTGCCCCCTCTAGAACAGTTTCTTTTAGAGAAACTGAAAGATCAATAATCCTTTTTGCCTCATGTGGAAGTTTATATCTGGATCCTGCACTTTTCCCCGACCCCCTCTTCCCACCCAAGCAACTTTCCTCTGTACTTTCTCATGTCCCTAGTTACTGATTTCCTTACAAGGGATGTGATCTTTAGTCCAATACACAGTAATTCAATTCTTCCTCTTTTCTTCCTCCTGATTCTTTTGAACCCCCTAAGATCTTTTGTCCCTTAGAGTTTTTTCCTTGTAAATGGTTTCTTTTTGTTATTTCACTGATCTTCAATGATGTGTTTGGTTTTTAAAATCTTTGTCTTTGTACTGGAATCATTACAGGACTGATTTTATTGCTTTGCTTTTTCCCCCTTCCAGCTATGATCATTTACCTTTCTTGTGTTTATTTTGATTTATATAATGAGTTTCAAATTTCTTGCTTATCTCTGGTTTCTTTTGAGGGAAATGTTGAAACTATTCTTTTTTGTTGGAAGTGTATCTTTTTAAAATATTTTTATCTATTTCATTAAATATTTCCCAATTATATGTAAAATTGTAGCAACTACTTAAAAAAATTTTTAGTTCCAAATTCTGTCCCTCTCTCCCATCTCACTCCCCTCCTTGAGAAGGCAAGTATTTAATTTTGTCTTTTTTTCCCCCACTGATGATTAAACTCAGTTTTGTAGAATTTTATTTGGTAGTCCAAATTAATCTTTTCTTTTTAGAACATCACATCCCAATTATCTCCTTGATTTCCCACAAATAAGGAACTATCTTGCAAGACTTATACTGATTTTCTAAAATCTGGAGGATTCTCTTCTGGTTACCTGAAAGGTATATTGACTAATATTTATATTCAGAAATTTTGTTGCCACATTTCTTTGTGAGTTAATGTGTGTGTGTATGTGTGTGTGTGTGTGTGTGTGTGTGTGTGTGTGTGTGATGGATTGTAGTTAATTGAATTTTAGTTTTCTCTCTATTCCAAATACTTCTAGATTTTTTTTTTTTGCAAGGGTAGTGAATCTTATTCTTGGAAGTATTCTCAAATCTCTTTTTTCATCATATTTTGCTGGGAAACCAATGATGTTTGAATTCGTTCTGTGAATTTTGTCATCAAAGTTAATAGCCCTAACTTGAAAAAATGTCATGTGTTCTTTCAAAGCTGTATTCTTTTAAAATTTTTCTACCAGTTTTCTTTTACTTCTGCACTTTTGAGCTCCAAATCTTCTATTCCTCTTTTATACTTTATTTGAAATTATCTTTGTCATATTTTTTAAAATGGCCACATTCTTGATTTAAAAAAAAATTCTTTGAAAGTTCTGACAACCCTAATTTCCATCCTTATTTTTTTCAGTTTTGAAGTTAATTTTTTGAGCCATTCTGGAGGTTGGATTTTTCCCCCAGGTATTCCATCATCATCTTTGTGGGTCTCTTATAATGCATTATCCTGATTGGGGATTTTCAGATTGTCTTCCTTCTTTCTATAGCATTTATTTGTTGTATTGTGCCCTTTTCCAGATTGTCTGGATTGTCCCCCTATTCTCTTGTTTGTCATTGTCAATGATGCTCTTTTTTTTTCACCACAGTCTTTATTTTTGTATTTGTTATCCCTTTATTCTATTTGGCACTTGCTTTTTTGAAATAAGAGAGAGAAATTGGGTTTAGATGTGTCCTTTCACTCAGCCATATTGCCTGAAATAAATTGTCTAATTTTATTTTTCATTTTTTCTTTTCTTTATTTTATTGGTTGATTTTTAGCTGCTTGGAAGTTCAGCTCTCTTGGCTCTGGGTTTTAACTCAACCTCTTTCTCTACCTTCTTGTTGCATACTATTTCCCTTATGGTCTAGAGTGTTGAATGAAGTTTGTCTCTCATCCATGGTTACATTCTTTCTACTTTCCAGATTACTAAAGGCAGGTAAAATTAATCGCATCCTCTATTAAGGAGTGAGGTGTTGCTATTGCATCACTGCTGAGGGAGTTTCCAAGAGGTAATGAGTGTCTGCCATTGCTGGGCTTATACTCAAACTGCCATTTGACTTTATTTCTGGAAGACTTTTTTCTTTTGTCCTTACTGTGCTAAATGAAGTTCCACACTTCCAGGACTCTGCCACTCATAGATTCCATTATCTATTGTTCAGAGTGCTAGAGTTGGGTGAGTTCAATGACCTTCCTTTCATGGGGTGTGTGTGTGTGTGTGTGTGTGTGTGTGTGTGTGTGTGTGTGTGTATGTGTATGAGAGAGAGAGAGAGAGAGAGAGAGAGAGAGAGAGAGAGAGAGAGAGAGAGAGAGAGAGAGAGAGAGAGAGAGAGAGAGATGTTTGGCTAAATCACTGAGGAGAGGAGACTCTGAGAGGGAAAAAATGATATATGCCATGGCAACCATTTAGAGCAGATCTGGTGAGGCAGACAAGGAGCGGTGGGCTAAACTAGATATGATGGGCCAGTAATATAGACTTGTGGTTTATCATTCTTCTCTCAACCCTAATAAGAATATTACAGTCATGGGAAGATAGCCAGTACAAAGGCATAGAATTTGATGATGGAGTGCCATGTTGAGTTTAGTAAAGTAAAAGAAGGTTGGACAGGTCTTTTGGAGAAAATGTCTCCTTTCTTCTCTTCTTACTATTTTCATTACTTTATTTAATACATTTCTTGCTAGTTTGGTGTGATTGAGGTTAGAACTAGGCTTAAATACAACCTCTCTCTCTCTTTCTGTGTCTGTCTCTGTCTGTGTCTGTCTCTCTGTCTTTGTCTTTGTCTCTGTCTCTGTCTTTCTCCCTTCCTTGACTGATTGGCTATGGGAAGGTGTTATTGGATTTAGTTTCTAGTTAATGGATTGACCTGAAGATAATTTGACTTTTATAATGTTTCTGTCTATCCTTTCTTAGCTGATAACTCATTGGCCATGTCGATACCAATTAGTGACTATACAGAATGAATGTATCTGCTTTTTGTGTCCCTCAGATAGTCATGGCGTGTTACCCATTATTTTACAGATTTTCAAGGAATCATAAGCAGAGGAACAAACACCATCAACCAAAGAATAAGATTCCAGAAAAAAAACAGAAGGAAAATGGTGGGATATCCCTATGTCCTCTGCCAGAGATCCCCAGAAAAGGCTTTATAATATCCTTGTTCTCTATATAAAGAGATATAGCTAGGTTACAGTTACTGTGAATAATGAGCCCCCCCGAAGTAGTCACATTATTTGCATTCTCTCTGCCTATTTCTATTAAACTGGCACCAACATACCTCTTGGTAAATACAATAGCTCACATTTACACAGATTTGCAAGATTTATGAAACAGTTTTCTCATCACAACTCTGTGATGTTGGTAATGAGCATTAGAATTTTATTTCCATTTTTCAGATGAGGAAATGGAAACTTACAAAAGCTCGCTAAGTAGTCAGGTACACATGGTAAATATCTGAGGCAGAACTTAATGTTTTGAATCTACATTTGGTACTCTTAGAGAAGTAAATGGCAAAATACTTTAGTGTCTTTGTCAAGAAAACCCCAAATGAGATCATGAAGAGTTGGACATGATTGAAATGACTGATCACACACACACACACACACACACACACACACACACACACACACACACACACAGAGACTTTCAGTGGGAAGGAAAAGGTAAGTGAAGTAGGTCAACTGGGAAAAGGTGGTCCCACCTTAAGGAGGTATGATTGGAGCAGAATCTTGAAGGAAGCTAGGGAAGCCAAGAGTAATATGAAGAATCAAAATATTCCTGTCATGAGAAGACAGCCATTACAAAGGCATAGAGTTTGAAGACAAGTGCCAATTCAGTAAAGACTGGACAAGAAGAAGATTGGACAGATAGGAGGAGGCCAGGATATGAAGAGCTTTAGATGTTAAATAAAGGACTTCATATTGAACCTGTTGATAATAGGGAGCCTCTGGGATTTATTGAGTGAAGTAGTGGTATGACAAAGATGAGACATCTTATATAAGAGAAGTATAAGACACAATGAAGCCTTGTTGGAAAGAATCCATTAAGACATATAATAGTGTAATGAAAACAGTACAAACTTTAGAGTCAGAAGATCTGGGTTCAAGTCCTGTCTTTGATGCTTACTGCCTTTGTTATATAGGCAAGAAACTTAACTTCAGTAGGCTTCTGTTTCCTTATCTGTACAATTAGGTGACTTGGACTATATGGTCTCTGAGATGTCTTCCAACTCTAAATCTATGATTCTATGATTTTGTTGATATGGGTTCTCTTTTCACTGATTCATATTGCAGCTCTCCTCAGCCTCAGTGGATGGTTGCGTAAGTTTCAGTGTCCCACATTGAGTTGCTAGCCAGATGGTTGGTTAGGCTCTCAGTGACTAGCCACTGCTGAGTCAGCTAAATGAAATAGCCTGTCAATAGGCCTATATGCAAAGCGTGTGACAGATACTATGTTCTGCTACCATAGGCTTTGACAGCTTCACATCACTTCAATCCCATAATGAGACCTTTGAATGAACAAATGACTGGGGGATTAAGGATGAGGTAAGAACAGTAGGATGTAGAAGGAGAGAATGAGGGTGGTAGGCATGCAAAACAGAGTTGAGGAGTAGTTGTTAGAACTTGGAGATTATGATACAAGAACCAAGGAAGACCATGGGGTAGAGTGTAGGAGTGGTGGAACTAAAGATCCAGAGCTCCTGAGAGGAATCTTATCTAAGAGGAGACCAAAGCAAGCAAGAAAGAATTAAATAGCCACAGGAATAAGGAATAAGCTAAATGAGAAGGTAAGGAAACAAAAATGGCAAAGGTTAGACAGCTAGTGAGAAGAAATGCTCATCTTTAGGCTTTTTTCCAGCTTTATTAACAGAGATATTACAGAGGGGGAAAGAAGTTTAATATTTTGGATTGAAGGCTATAGCCCCTGGATGGCCTGTTTTTCCTTTACTCACCCTAAAGATCTCTCTTCTATGGATAGGATAAATGAAACAGCTGTAAGTGAATTTGTTTTTCTTGGCTTCTCAGCCCTCGCTGGATTTCAGAAGCTGTTGTTTGTGTTGTTCCTCCTCTCTACTTGTTCACACTGGGCACCAATGCTGTGATCCTGTCCACCATCCTGGTGGAGCGAGCCCTTCATACTCCCATGTATTTCTTCCTTGGAATACTGTCTTGTTTTGAGACCTGCTACACCTTTGTCATTGTGCCCAAAATGCTGGTAGATCTTCTGTCCCAGAAGAAGACCATTTCCTTTTTGGGCTGTGTTGTCCAGATGCTCACCTTCCTCTTTCTTGGCTGTTCTCACTCCTTCCTTCTGGCAGCCATGGGCTATGACCGCTATGTGGCCATCTGCAACCCCCTCCGCTATACAGTGTTGATGAGTCCTGGGACATGTCTGGGACTAGTGGCTTCAGCCTGTGCCTGTGGATTCACTGTTGCTTTGATCATCACCACTCTTGTGTTTCACTTGCCCTTCCACTCCTCCAACCAGCTCCATCACTTCTTCTGTGACATCTCCCCTGTTCTTAAGCTGGCCTCCCACCATACCAGTCTCAGTCAGATGATTATCTTCATGCTTAGTGTCTTGGTCCTAGTCATTCCTCTGCTGTTAATCCTGGTCTCCTATATCCATATCATCTTTGCCATCCTAAAGATTCCCTCCACTGTGGGCAGGTACAAAGCCTTCTCCACCTGTGCCTCTCATCTTATTGTTGTCACTGTTCACTATGGCTGTGCCTCCTTTATCTATTTGAGGCCCAAGACTAACTATACCTCGAGCCAAGATGCTCTGATATCTGTGTCCTATACCATTCTAACCCCATTATTCAATCCCATGATTTACAGCTTGAGAAACAAGGAGTTCAAAGCAGCTCTTTGGTGAGCAATTGGCTAAAACTTTTGTCTTAAAGTTGCAGGGACCACACCCCTTCCTTAATTCTCTTTCCAGTCCTATCATTGGAAGACCAGTCATCAAAGAAAGCAAGTTGAACCCACTGGACTGTCTTAATGAATCACTGCTAGATGAATGAAAAGAAGATACTTTGAGTGATAGACTCTTTTTAGATGTGAGGATGAAATCAATTTAGAGATGAATTTTGTCCTTTTGAAAAATGAAATGAACCAACCATGACACTAATTTCTTCATATCCTTCCTTTAGTTTAACATTGTAGAGTATCAGTTCCTATTCTTTTATAGCTCATACTCAACAATTTCATTGGGGCAGAAGTTGGGAATTTCTGCCCATGTGGTAATGGTTCCCATATCCCTTCCTACCCTCTGCTTCCCTAGAGCCCAGGGTTCTCTCCACTTTCTATAGATTTGGAGATTGTTACATGAAGAGCTGGAAGGAATACTTAGAGGTATTGTAGTCAAATGCTCTCAATTTGCAGATGAGAAAACCAAGGCCCTAGACAGGTGAAGTAACTTACCCTAAGTCACAAAACTGGTCAATAAACAATTTAAGAATCTAATTCAGGTCTGCTGATTCCTAGCCCAGTTCTCATTCATTTATGTCAACCTAATTCTCCTTGTCCTACCACATCCAGGTTCTGGGCTTATCTGTAGGAGTCAGTTCTGAGTGTGGATCCAGGACTGGGCTCAATTACCTAGTTTATTCTGGATCAATTGGGGCCATTTCATGAAACTGGAATTATTTCGATAATTTTCTAGTGTAGACTAGCCTTTAATGATATTTTGGTAATAAATTCCCTTTCCTTCATGATGAATAACAAAACTTTACATTTACATAAAGTTTTACATTTAAAATTATTTGTTTTATTTTTATTTAAATAAGCATTTCCATAACATAGTATAATAAAATAAGTTGATTGCACATGAAAACACAAATCTATTATGTACAATTTGCTATTCCTTTTAAATATATAATAAAGTTATCATATAAATTTCTTTGTTCCCCTTTTTTCCTCTTCCCCCATGAGAGATGGCTACCATCAGACACAAATATGTGTCTAAAAACATATCTGTATATGTAAAATCATTCTATATATACTTCTATTTATCATTTCTTTCTCTGAATGCAGATAACTTCATAAATTCTTTGTAGTTAATTTGGGTATTTATAACAGTCAAAATGATTAATCCACTCAAAGTTGTTCTTAAAACAATATTGTTACTGTATACAATGTTCTCTTGGTTCTACTCATTTCATTCTGCACACAAATCTATACTTAAAATGTTTTTGGCATTCTCTCTCCCTCTCTCAACATGGTGGCTTCAGCTAAATAAGAAGGGGAAGACCCTCTCTTGACAGACTTCCTTTCTGAGGATGGTGGCACTAGTGGTGGAGGAAGCACCTTTATGCCCAAACCCATCAGCTGGGCTCATGAAACGGACAACTTGGAAGATGTTTCTACCAATTGACATAGTAATGATGATGACATGTATAGGGCATCTCCAAGTGATCATTCCATTCTGCCCATTGCTCCATGGGCTGCTTAGGAACCCGATATTGACCAGAGCCATCTTTTCAAATTGCCACCCTACACTGCTTTTCTAGGGAATTTGCTCTATGATGTGACAGAGAATTCCATCAAGGAGTTCTTTAGAGGATATAATCAAGGAAGTGATTGAGAGGAAAAGGAAGTGGTCCAATCATATGATGAGAATAATTGATTAAAAAATAGATGATCAAATTATCCATGGCCTTCTAAGGAGTTATCTGAATAGACTTTAAATTACATCTTTATTTTTGCTAACCTCTAACTGAATTTAGTTTTTCTTTCAATTATTTTAAAACATTCTTCTGAGAAAAGGTTCCTAAGTTTCACCAAACTACCAAAAGCAGGAGTAGGCTTGAACCAGATCATGAAAGCCAATTATTAAATTTTCAGTGTGAGCATTTGTTCCACAGAAATTAGCAAATACTAAAAATCAGGGTTTGATTCAAAGGTTTTTTTTTTGTTGTTGTTACTGTCTAGGTTTAAGAGACAGAGAAATGTTGATAATGCAGATTAAACTTAAAAATATGTAGAGCCTACTTTTTTTCCCCCTCAGGGAGCTGGTTTTTAAATATTCATCAGTACATACTTGGCCAAAGAGATCCATGACACAAAGAAAGTTAAGATCCTCTGATCTAAAGGAAGGCCTCCAGAACCCTGGGTAGATCCTTTGTGGAGAATTTATGGGAAAACATGGACAAGAATTGTGTGAGATGAGAAAGTGTGGGGAAGCTGCTCTGTTCCTCACTACAGGAAGTACCCACATGGATGAGATCACAGCTCACAGACCCTTTGTAGTATAAAAGTTTGTTGTTCTCACTTGATATAGGGCAGCAGTTTGCTGAAATAGAAAGAGGACTAGATTTGGTACCTAAGGACCTCCTCCAAATCCCAGCTCTGCCCATTTATACGTTGGGCAAGTCCTTAACCTCTGTCAAACCTGGACAGTATACCAGCACCATGTCAGGAAACAGAATCATTTCCATTTGAATTGTCTTTGGAAGATTCTGAAGATTACATGGCAAGATAAGGTACAGACACTAAAGTCCTCTCTTGAGCTGAATTGCCAAGCATTCAAACTCTACTGCAAAGACTGCTATTCCGATGGGCTGGCCATGTTGTTGTAATGCCAAATGTATATTTGCTTAAAAGATTTTACAGAGAGCTCTTACAAGGCAAGTTCTCACATGGAGGTCAGCAGAAGTGATACAAGGACACTCTCAAAGTCTCTCTGAATAACTTTGGAATTGATTATGAGACATGGAAGACATTGGCACAAGACTGCCCAACATGGTGTGCCTCCATCAAAGAAAGCCCTGTGCTTTATGAGCAAAGCAGAATTGCATTACCTCAAAGGAAACATGAGATGTTCAAATTTAGAGACTTCTCCACTCCAAATGTTCATGTGGACTATTTGTGCCTGACATGTGGTAGAGCCTTCCATGCTCATATTGGTCTGATCAGCCACAGTTGGACATAGGGTACCTTGATCCCAACATAGTGATGCCATTTTGCTCCTCTTCAAAGGGCAATGACTGACCTCTGTGGGCTTTGGTTTCCTCATCTGTAAATTGAGGTGATTGGGTTGGATAAGATGACCATTCTACAGGATTAGGCTCCTGGCTTTCCCACCTGCTTTTCAACTTCTGCCCCAGCTGCCTTCTTATACTGGATGCATGCCCCAGCCTTTCAATTTCTGCCTCATGTGTTTGGTTAGTTCCTTTCTCCTCTGAGCCTCTTTTTGAAGAAGACCTCCTGTTATCCATACTTACCTGTAACCAGGGCAGCTCCTGACTCTACAGACTATATCTATCCTGATTGCCTCCCTGCTTTTTGGCTTGCTTTCTTCATTAGAATGTAAGCTTCTTGAGGGTAGGGACTATCTTTAGGCTTATATTTGTATTCCCTGAGTTTATCCCAGAATTTGACACATAGTAAGTGCTTAATAAATGATTTATCTAATACAATCTACTGAACTTTAAAAGTCCCTTTCAGCTATAAATCTATAATCCCTCCATCCTCAAACCAGCCCTAAGGCTGAGGGTAGGCAACATTACCTAGACTTTACAGGGGAGGAAAATTAGCTATATGGCTTGTTGAAAGTAAATGATGGTAGAGATCAGGTGAGGATCCAGTCTTAAGATTTTTTCCCACTGCAATAGTTAGTACCTATGTACCAAGTCTTGTAGGTTTTTCCTTCCATTTGATGCATGGGCTGCTGCTGTTTATGGCCCCTAATCCCCAGGTACTGTGGACTGAGACCACTTATGAACAATTGGTTAATATTTTCCATGAGAAACTTGACTGTTAATTACCCCCTGTGAAACCTCTCCACAACAGCAGCTCCAGTGCTAGGAGACTAGCAAACACTGCCAGCAATAAAGAACCACACCCCATGTTTGGTCAGTGTGACTGCCGAGATTCTTGTCCATGGCTAGTGACTGAGGAGCCTGATGGAAGGAGACTGGTTATATTGAGGTTGCTTAGGGTCAAAGGCCCCTGGACCTGTCTCATTTCTTCTCATGAACAGAGGAAACAGAACTTTGCTCTTTTCTCATCTCTTTATGTTCATTTTTGGGGTCTGGAACCTGTTTACCAGAGAGACACTTCTAAACACATCACTGCCTGTTTCAGAGCAGTAAGGAGAAAAATGGTGGGAAAGCTGGACTGACAGGACAAGACCTTGGTTTGTGTTGAGGCAGCATGGTGGCCAGAACTCTACTCATGGACAGTGTAAGAGAAGGGCTACTTCTTCCAAATGAGGATCCGGGTCAGTGACTCCCAGGTGAGAGAAGAGGTTGGTGGTATATATATATATATATGTGTGTGTGTGTGTGTGTGTGTGTGACAGGGACTATGTTGACACTATTCCAAATGAAGGATGATTTAGACAGGGATCTAATTAATTAATTGGATATCAGTTTGTGGCCAAACCTGTTCTTTCTACCTGAGTGGATTTTTTTCCCCTTTCAATTAGTTAAATTGTCCCTTTAGATAACCTGAATCAACCAAATATTTGCCCTACCTTTACTTGCTTCTGCCTTGTGAATACTTTACCCACTTTTTCATTAGATTAGTGCTTACATTTTAATAAGGAAACTAAGAACTTCCCTTCTAAGAGGCAGCTAGGTGGCACAGTGGATAGAGTACTAGCCCTGGAGTCAGGAGGACCTGAGTTCAAATCTGGCCTCAGACACATAATACTCACTAGCTGTGTGACTGTGGGCAAGTTACTTAACCCCAATTGCCTCACCAAAAAAAAAAAAAGAAGAAGAATATTAAAGAAATTTCCTTCTAAGAGCCCCAAAAAAGGGGGAAAAATCTTCCTTATCATCTTATGCTGCATTTAGATATTTCTAACAATCAGGTTGACTCCCTTCATCCTCTTTTTCCTTCTTCTTTCTTTCTTTCTTTCTTTCTTTCTTTCTTCTTTCTTCTTTCTTTCTTTCTTTCTTTTTTCTTTCTTTCTTTCTTTCTTTCTTTCTTTCTTTTTCTTTCTTTCTTTCTTTCTTTCTTTCTTTCTCTCTTTCTCTCTCTCTTTCTTTCCTTCCTTCCTTCCTTTTTCTTCACAATCTAAGCAGAGATTATGGAAAATTCAGAAAGGGTGTTTGGGGAATAAGAAGTACTGGACCTGAGGGTGACATCAGTAAGACGTCTTAGTCTATGGTCCATTTAGAGCTTACAGTTCACAGAATATTAGATCCAGAAAGGATCCTGATGTTCCATTGTCCATGTTTTTCAGGGTGGTTACCTATCCTCTGCTTGAAAAACTGCAATGACTGGGAGCTCCCTCCTCCGCAAGGTGAGTTGAAGACATTCATCTTACAGAGGAGGACACTAAAGGCTAAAGAAATGAAGTTATATCCAAAGCATTGCTGGGACTCTTGATCTATGTGTTCAGACTCCTCCCACTATATCATAAAAACTGTGGTTCTCTTTGGCTAATGATACCATAGATGTTTTACTTCTTTGTACAAATCTTTGTGAGTAATACAGATGCTTCCCTCTTTGCCCCTCATCTCCAAACTCCTAGAGTAGCCTTTTATGAGAACATTTTTGAGGATGGCTATACCTGCCTACTCTTGAATAGGGCAATGGAGTTCAGGACAGTATTCCTGTTTATTCTCACTAGCCTGGTTATGAAGGTTAATAGCCAATGTAGGGGTGTTGAAGATTTCCTTTGCTAAACCAAAACTCCTTTTACTTTCAGGATCTGATGAAGAGAATGGTCACATTACACAAATTGACCAGCTGAATTCTAGTCTTGAGAGAAGATTTCCAGATAAAATCTTCTGATTGTCTGCCAATGACTTGGTTTTGTACTCTGTCTTGTATCGTCATTAGATTTGTCTTCAGACTCCAGTAGGAGGAATGCAGGAGTTATGATCAAACACCTGGGAACATCTGTCACCTTTACCCAGAGCCCCATACTTTAATTCCCTTTATGAACTCTTTCCTATTGTCCTGCTTCTAGCCCTTTTCCTGAATCTTCTAAGTACTCTATGGAGAGGAGCAATGAGACAAATGTGAGTGAATTTGTCTTCCTTGGCTTCTCAGCTCTGGTTGGATTTCAGCAGCTATTATTTGTGGTGTTCCTTCTCCTCTACCTATTCACTCTAGGTATCAATGCTGTGATCTTGTCCACCATCCTGCTGGAGAGAACCCTCCATACTCCCATGTACTTCTTCCTTGGAATTCTGTCCTCATTTGAGACATGCTACACTTTTATCATAGTACCCAAGATGCTAGTGGACTTGCTGGCCCAGAAGAAGACTATCTCTTTTGTGGGCTGTGCTATTCAGATGCTTACCTTCCTCTTCCTTGGCTGTTCTCACTCCTTTCTGCTGGCGGCCATGGGCTATGACCGCTATGTGGCCATCTGCAATCCTCTTCGTTACACAGTACTGATGGGCCATAGAATGTGTCTGGGCCTGGTAGCTGCAGCCTGTGCCTGTGGCTTCACAGTTGCCTTGGTTACAACGTCCCTTATATTTCACTTGCCCTTCCATTCTTCCAACGAGCTCCATCACTTCTTCTGTGACATTTCCCCTGTCCTCAAGCTGGCTTCCCACCATACTCACCTTAGTCAGATGGTCATCTTCATGCTGGGTATATTTGCCCTGGTCATACCCTTACTGCTGATTCTGGCCTCCTATATCCATATCATCTCTGCCATACTAAAGATCCCCTCCACTGTGGGCAGGTACAAAGCCTTCTCTACCTGTGCTTCCCATCTCATTGTTGTCACTGTCCACTATGGCTGTGCCTCCTTCATCTATCTGAGGCCTAAGACCAACTATACCTCCAGCCAAGATGCTCTGATATCTGTGTCCTATACCATTCTAACCCCATTATTCAATCCCATGATTTACAGTTTGAGAAACAAGGAGTTCAAAGCAGCTCTGTGGAGGTTAATGGGCCAGAACTTGTGTTTCAAACATTAAAGAACAGGTTCTTCTTTTTGATTTCTGTCTCTGATTCTGGCTCTCTAATTGTGGTGGTGGGAGATTGGATGATTTTAGGAGGAAAAGAGTTTAAGATTTAAAGACAAGACAAAACTAGATTTTCATTATGCCTTGCATAACAGTTGTATGACCATGGGGAAAACCCTTATTCTCTTTGATTTCCCAAATGTCCAAAGCTATCCTCAAGTCCAAAGGCCTCACATGTTGCATTTATGAACATTCATATGATAGTATTTTTATTATCTCATGGGGTTGTTGGAAGGATCTGAAGTGATAATCCACATAAAGATTTTTTTTAAATAAATGCTTCAAGGCATCCACCACAGCATAATAGATAGAGAGCCAGTCACAGAGTCAAGAAGAGTTGAGTTCACAGCCTAACTGTGATGCATACCAGCTATGTGAGCCTGGATTAGTCATTTATCCCTTCAGTTCCCTAGGAAACACTTAAGACTGTCAGTTTCAGAGCAGCTGCTAATCTGCATTGATAGAGTTCCCCACTGGGAGTACCTAAGAACAATAAAATCCACAGGTCTCTTCTTAAAAAAAATTCAAATGTTAGCTATCATATCTCTGACCATCAATATCAGAAATACAGTCCTGATAAGGATGACAGATCTTAAGCTTTTATGTTCTAGAAGCAGTTTTGCCACCTATCCTATTCTTTCATTGTTCACTCTGGGCTCCACTGGAGTTTTTGTTCAGTGTGGGAGACAGTGGGACGAATAGGTGGCACCAGTCCCTGTGATCCTTGGTTCCTCTGTTCCATGGCCACAGACTGCATTTTTATCTCTCCCTGAGCATTGTGCAAATATATCTCCTTTGGTTTCAAGGGGGCAAGGTGAAAGCATTGGAATGAATAATCATGAATTCATCCCCACTGTTGGAAGCACAACTCAAAACACTACATCCCTACTGCTAATGGATCACTAGCATCATCTATGTAAGGAGAATAACATTATTAATATTAATGTAGTAAGGTAGTTAGTGAGAGCATAGAGCCAGGTAACTTTTCCCCATTGAATTTGAGTTAGCTTTCACAGCTTTGTGGGGAAAGGTGGTCAAGAGATTGTGTTACTCTATGGTCAGATGGATCAGGACATCACAAGAGCACTATTAGTAACTGGTGATAGCACTCTGAAAAACAAAAACAAACCTCTTGTCTTTCCTTAGTTGAAGAGTCCATATCCCTTCTCCCAAAGGAAGGCAATCATTATTCACCATACTGAAATGCCTCCCCTCTTATATGAGAATTCAATTTCCAGTCTCCTTACACAGTCTCATGTAGTGAGGACTTAGCCTGGGAATGAAATGAAAAAAGCTCATACAAAGGTTAAATGTTAGTACATCTTATTATTAATATAAATTTTACTGTTCTCTTGGCTCCTTAAAACTGGGAATGTACTGTCCCTTTAAGGTTTGTTGCTGAATTGTCTGCTCAGAGTTTTAAGAAAAACAATTGCTGAAATAGTTATTCTCAGATATACCCTTATGAGATAGTTGTTGAGTTATGAAGGTTACAAGCTACAGAAAACTGGGAAAATATGGATATCAGAACTGTTTTATGGTGTATTATTTTGAGACTAACATAATTTATGTGATTATAGATAGAAGATGAGAATTTGGCTATTAATCATAAACTAAGACGGAACATTTAGAAGAGGATGCCAAAACTGAAACTTGAAAGAGAAGAGAGTGAGAGGTGAAAGGACAGATTTCAGAAGTTCATCAGCTAAATTTGAAGTTGGAAGTGATATACACTACAGCTGCTATGGGTGATTAAGTCTTGTTGATTACAGGACAAGCTTGGTAACAGACTTAAGAAGTTACTTTGGAGATCAACTAGTTTGACTGAGATATTATGCTCAATAAGTTTATTCAAGCATGGCTTGCATCAACTCAGCTTAGCAATAAAAATATCTGTTCAACACAGAAGTTACATTCAGCAAATAACTTTCATGGACAGTTCCTGAGAAAGAAATAGAATACCAAAGTTTATGGTTGCAGAGGTTTGAGTTACCCTAAGCAATTCAATTTTTCTTACTCGTATGCCTTGTTGCTAAGTTCCTATGTATTCCCACTCTCTCCCCCAGATACTTAGTCCATAGATGGGAGAGTGTGACCCAGTTTTATGTGTGGATTGTGGTACATTTATTATTCATTCAATTGCTTTAATATCTGAGTACCTTTGATATTATTCTTTTTTTATTTGTTTTGTTTGTTTGTTTTTTTTGTTTTTAGGCAATTTGGGGTTAAGTGACTTGCCCAGGGTCACACAGCTAGTAAGTGTCAAGTGTTTGGTCTGAGGTCGAATTTGAATTCGGGTCATCCTGACTTCAGGGCCGGCACTCTATCCACTGTGCCACCTAGCTGCCCCTTTTTTTTTTTTCTTAAGTATATACAAAAATGTCATTACTGTGAATGGCTGCTTGTATAAATATGAACACGTCTGTGGGTGCTCAAGAGCTAGAGTGGTGAGTAAAGGGAATGTGTTTCTCCTTTACAGGATTATCCCTAGAACACTGAGAGAATTTTAGTGTAACTATGTAGTGTTGCTTCTTCTCTGAGAATCTACACCTAATGGTGTGAAAGCAAGTTGGAATGAGCTATTTGGCCAAGAGACTAAGTAGGCATCCATATACCTAGGTAGGAAGTGGAAGATGCTATATTGGGCATAGTACCCATTAAACTAAGAGGAAAATCTCAAATAAAAGGGACATTAGATAAACAGCTTCTTAGCTTTTTTTTTTTTGCCTTGGAGTGCATTGGGAGTCTTATTCATTCTCTTCTTCTTTGGCCTTTCCCTCCCTCCTTTTTTGATTTATCCTTTTTCTTCCTCTCTCCTCCATCAATTTTCTAATTTCTTAGTCACTAGAGTTAAAAGGTCTATAAGTTTTGAAGCCTGGAGGTTGAGGAAAATCTAATGGGAATTCTGTGTTGCTTTTACTCTCCTCCACCATCTATTCTCAAAGTATTGTGTGTATTTTTTCTTTAATAGCTCACTCTTGGCATTGAGGGACAATACTATTTCATAGAGAAGTAAGAGAAGAAATCAATGGGGGAATAAAACAACACGAAAAATTGCTATATATCTGCTCACGAAATAAGTCAGAGAGTTTTAGTGTGCTTCATGTTGACTATAAGTCAACCAGGTGATATGACAGCAAAAACAACAACAAAAACAGACAACAACAAAAGGCCCAATGAGAACTTCACCTGTGTTCAGAAGCATTGTGTCCAGAATAATTGAAAGAGATTAAGTTCTCCACAAAATGTCAGCTTGGCAACAAGTTCACCTTGACAGTCCTAACAGTTACCTTGTATTGACAGTTAGCAA